AAAAAGCGGCTCAGGCCTTCCGCGACGCATTCGTTCGACGCGCGCATTCGTCGCGCAGAGCGCGCGCGCAAACGTGATATCTGAGGGGTCTGACGTGTAGGTCTAAAACCGTTTTGGTCTCATTTGTTCTTTTTGTTCGGGAAAGGGGTGTGCCTTTACAATTTACATCAATTTACGCCTTTTTTGGCTCTTTGGCAAGTACGCGTACTTGCCAAAGAAGAAGAGGCGTATTTGTTCGGGACAGGGGTGTGACAAAAGCAGGGTGGGCGTTTTCCCCAAAACCATTGTTTGGGGGGAGGGAAGGAGCCAAAGTAGCTTCCCCCTCCTCAAGTTTCAGACACCTAGCGGCCTTTTTCCCACACACCCAGCGGCCATATTCCTGGAGGCCACGGGAACAAGAAGGCCAACCGTTGTTTGCCGGACAACAAATAATGTTGACCCCGGATTAATAAACCCCTGTATGGGGGTGTTCCCCTCCAAAAGTGATAAATCCCCACTAAAACCAGGGACACCCCCATATTAATAAACAAGGATTTATTAATCCAGGGTCAACATTAAAGGTGACACCGGCTGCACCCTCATTTCTTTGAGGATTGTTCTTATAACAATCGAACAGCGTGTGACATACATGGCGAAACAAGCGAGGTTTAGAGTGGCTTCTCAAAAGATCGATGGAACGAAGGCTGAGAAAGCGGTTCCATTGGGTGTCGATTTGAGTTCCAACCCAATCGCCTTCTCTTCTTGATGAGAGACATTGCACGAGTGTCGTGCCAGCCGGTTCTATTTCCCTGTGTAGTTGGTAAGCAAGGGAACCATCCAAAGACAGACAAAGGACAATGACTGGTTACCCACTACGGGGGTGGCAGGATAGACAACCGGCAAATCAGAAAGCCAAGCATATTCAAAGATATATTGATTCTGGCTATTGACATTAGGTGTTGCTTTGTCTCTGATTTGTGGTTTCCATGTCAGTGTGGACTCAGTAGGCAACCCTAGCGTTGGAGAAGTGCATAAGCTGCCTTCAAGATGATCCATTCGCGGGTAAGACGACCCCATGAAGGCCCTTTGAAATCTGGCTGAAAACATGGTCGGGGAAAGTTGTCGTTTGTTCGGGTATTGTCGCCGTTTGGTCGGGTATTGTCGCCGTTTCGCCTTCGTGGATGTGTCCCAGAAGAGCAACAAAGTGAAAAGCGCCTCGAGACACAAAAAAGTGTTGTTTGTCTGAAAGGGCAGCTTTTCACGAAAGGGCATGACAAGAACACACTTTGGAAGATTCAGGTGTGCCCCTATATAAAGGGTGTGCATATTATATACATACACACATTTTCCCTGCAGGTAGTGGTTTCGGGGTAGTGCAAGCGAATTCCAGATCCAATTCTTACTGCCCAAATTAAAATTGGAACCCGGAAGGTCTTGATTTGTAGAGAAAGCCCTTGTTGAGGGCCTTCTTTTTCTTAGTTGCCCAAAGCCGACCTTTTGACCTTTTGGTTTCTCCTTGTTGGTCTAGTTTTAGTCATGGACCCAAAAGGTTAAACTTTTATTCCTGGGTCCTTTGGGCAAGTGAGTTTTGGGTTCCATGTTAATTTGTAGAGGACTTCAGGTTTTCCATACGGTCCAAGTACCTTCTAAGCATGACTTTCCCTTTGGACCCGCCATGCTCAGGAGGTACTAACAAACCCTTTCGGTTTTGGTCACTACAATTTGCAGATACTGATTTGGGTGAGGTCTTTTTGTTGAGGGTACCCACGAAGATGGTGGTCAAGGTTCCCTGAAAAACCACCAACAACAGGTACCAACTCAAAAAACACGACGTGCCTTTTGTTGAGTTGGCACCGCTTGTTTGGTGGGTTTCAAGGAACACCTAAAGGAAACCACGGTTTTTTGGGGCTTCCTCCATCCCTTTGACCCCTCCCTCACATGTCACATGTCACGGTTGCAAAACGCGCATCCATCCGCTCGGGGTTTGGTTTTTCCCCTTTTGATGGACTATGTTGTTTGTTTCCGTGTTTATCCCATACCATGCATCTCCTCCTTTTCAGGAAGCCAAGACTTTAACCCTGTTGCACGCCGCCAGAAGAAAAGGCAGAATGGGGAATTCGGTTTCTCAGTTGTTTCAAGCCAACCTTGTGACCTTTCGGTTTCTCCATGCTGGTCCAGTTTTAGTAAACTAGGTCCCCCCGCCAGGTGCCCTTTCTCACCCCTTTTTTGGTGAAGAAAAATCGGGTACCCTAACCTCTCTACTGGAGGACCTAGTAAAGGTACCGAACAGGTTAGCAGGTGATTTCGGGGTCCTTTGGGAGGTCATTGGATCCACAGCCGCGATTCGGCCAGTTTTCTGAAGCCCGCAAGATGCACACTGAAGGATCTTTGTTCACTGCATTTATTTGAATATCATTTCACAGGGCTCCTTGAAACATACAAATTTTGCCACCATTTGAAACATGGGAGGCTTTTTCAACACCAAAATAAAGGGACACCGCCATTTACAAGTTGCAATGTGCAGGTGTAGAATGCATCCGGATCCCTGTTTCAGGCGGCCAAATCCGTCCAAAACCAGAAGCCTTGTAGCCTGAGTTGACCTTTGGCCTCATGGGTGAATGCATCTGGGCTTTGGGAGGCGTTTGTGACATCCACAAAAAGGATAGGAGTCGAAAGCCAGGCGGAGAGGTAAACGTTTGGAGAAATGGTTGTTTTTTCAATCAGACCAGAAATGAAAACCTTTGGAGCCAGGCAACAGAAATAAAATAAACCTTGGAGAAATGTGTTTTTTTCTTAGCAGTCAAGACGGCTTGAGGGCTCCACGTCCAGTGCTTCGGGTCCGTCCGGTCGACGGGAGTCATGACGTCAGACGAGTCGAGGCCGGGGCAAGCCAAGCGGAAGGCTCCGGAGAAGCCAACGAAACCACAGGAGGAGAGAGCGGTGACCCATGGCATGGACCACAAAATTGTGTGTACCTGGAGTCTCCATGACCCTTTAAAAATGGGGTCAGTACCCCAAATAATGGGGTCATGGACCCATTTTTGATTCGGGTCATGGAGACTTCAGGTATGTGGTATGTGTGTGTGTCTTGAAATAAAGTAGGAGTCTTACAATCAAATAGAATATGGACTGTTGACATAGGCAAATTGTGTGTGTGTCTTGAATGAAAATAGGATATGGACTTCTAAAATGGCAAGGTGTTCTGGTTTCAGTTTTGCTTTGACAGCCAACCATGTTTGTTGGTTCCGCGAACAAAATGACGAGCCGTCCAAGAAAAGAGGGGTCTGGAAGCAACACATGTAGGCTACTAGGTTTCATCTCGGGAGGGCGTTTGTGACAGAAGGGTCACTTCCCCAGTGGACTTTTTTAGTTTTCGGAAGATAATTGTGGTGGTAAGCAAGAAGTCTCTATGGCCAATTCACTTCGGAAGTGAGCCTTGTCTTCCAACAAGAACTCGGTCTTTGGCCTGTTCTGATAGTGGACGACCTTCGTGGGCTCCCATGCAAAGACTTTGGTGGAAATTGTCTGATTTGTCTGACGAGCTCTAAGTTTCTCATGAAAGCCAGGGAGGTTACGAATTTGCGCACGTTCTTTGACAGGAGCTGGTAGTTTTGATCCATGGCTTTCATAAATAAAGTCATGGGGGATCCTTTGCAAAGGTCCGATCTTCATTGAGCCCCAGATAACCCTCATATAATTTGGCAAATGGATTCATCCCCGTGTTATGTGCGAATTGTACTGGGTTCTGTTCTTCGGATCATGGACACACGAGCGTCGGCAGCCAAGAACCCTAAGAAGCCAACACCCTAACTTGATTGCTATTGTGTTGGATCTTTAGACTTTCGATTTTTGGGCAATCAAGGGGGTTTTGGAACAAACCCACAAAAAGTTAGGCTTTTGCAGAGGGGTCAACCGCAACCGAGCTAAATAAAGGCGGCAAGGCAGACCCTAAAGGGAACCCCGGATCTAAGAAGAGCCGCAGGTTGTTTTTGGAGATGGCATGTCCTCTGTGAGTGGGGGTTCAGACCACTTTGGAGGGAACACTTTCCCGATTTGATGGGAGGTCACTACTTTGGCGGGGGGGTGTTCCATTTATGGACCCAAAAATTGCTCCGAAGCGGTCCATGACCAAAGTTGGACTTATGAGGTTTTTTAATTTGAGGTCAGTACTAAGTAGGTACAAAGAACATATTTCGTTTGGGGAGAGGGGGAGGTGGGATCCCTTTCAGGGACCGCAGTTTGGCCCAAACCGGCGGCGGATACGTCTATTCCTTACAGAATTGTTGGGTAAATAGATAACCTTAAAGGGTCCTGCAAATTTTGAGCCAAATCATATTCCTTTCAGATTGCTGGGGTAAGTACTCTGAAAAATCTAGGCATGCTGTTGTTCATAATACATCGTTTTCCAGGAGTTTGGCAGGTTCCTTCGGCAAACTCAGAGGTCCTGTGCTCTCCACCTGTGCCAAGCTGGTCTTGTTGCTCTTGAAGATACTCCAATTTGCAGAAACAGTTCTTTGATTGTTTCCCCTGTTGGACTCAGTTGCCCAAAGCCGACCTTTTCTTGACTGCTATTGGGTTGGATCTTTAGACTTTAACTTTTTGGGAAATCAAGGGGTTTTCCACTAAACCCCCCAAAAAGTTAAACTTTTTGCAGGGGGGTCAACAGTAACCAAGTTTTGACCTTTTGGTTTTCCCGTTTTGGCCCATTTTTAGTGGAGCTGCCAAAAGGTTAACCTTTTATTTCTGGGTCCTTTGGGCAAGTGAGTGGATGAAAGGCAATCTATGACTGCTGGAAAAAATGTCCATATGTTTGTCCAGCGGACTAAGCAGGAAGAGGCAGCAACGACCACAAGCCAGAGCAAGACAGCCACAAGCTAGCACCAAACGTGTCTTGCCACACAGACTTGTGGTTAAAGCATCAACACCAAGAGTCGTGTGTTTTACGTGTCTCACCACACAGACATGTGGTTAGTCGTGTGTGTTTAACTCGCTGGCCGAAAAAGTGGGGCCGTATCTGAGCCATGCCGCGGCGGGTACTCTTTCCGCACCTGCTGTGCCCGGAGGAAAGCCCTCCACCGGAAAAGGCACCCGAGAGAAGTTTTTGTTTTGCTCACAGCCCCCAGGCCCCTTCAAAAGCTCGGGGTGTGTGGCTTTATGTGCTGGAATTGGGCTTACAGAGAGCAAAACCCCTTCAAAAGCCCCGGTTCTGCGGCTCCACCTGGCTGAATCGGGCTTACAGCGAAGACTTTGTAGATGAGAGCCGTGGTAGTGGTAGAAGCAAAAGTTATTGGGCGCAGCTCACATTTCAAGTTTCCGGACCGGACACGGTCCTTTGTGGTTGCTGTCACGCCCTTGCCGGCAGAGAGCTGCTGGGCCTGATGCATTTTGAGGAGTTGTGCAGTGGTGAACAAAGGAATCAGGCTTGTTTTGCCAAAGCAGAACTTGGGTTCTTTGAAAAGAAAAGAACCGGGGAGACAAAAACACGAAGACCATTTTGGACATATATCTCCATGTGTAGTGGGAACTCCCACCAGAGAATGGATTGATGAGGCTCGGGGATCCCCACGCATTTCCGATGGAGTTTCCCGGGCATCGTTCTGGTCGACAGCAAAGTTCACTCAACACCAGCATCTAGCAACACAAACCCTGCTTGGAGCTGCGGGTCCCCACCGGGCCCAGGAATCGAGCTTCGGGTTTTCCAGGATTGTGGGCATCTCCTTTTCTGAGGGTACCTCCTTTCTTTGGTTTAAACGGAAAATCGGAAACCCACCATTTTGGGAGTCCCCCAAAACAGGACTCTCCCTTGACCCCTGTTTTCTGCCGCATCGCAACCACACAGACAGAACAAGAGGGTCGACAAGGCGCCGACAAAGTAGCTGCTGCGCGAAAAGGCCCGACAAGCAATTCGGCAGATGAGAACATCCGGCCTGGCACTCCGAAGAACCACGACATGCCAAAATCCCAATCTGACACTGAAGACACAACATCACTTGTATGGGGACTTTCCACTCACTTGTCCAAGGTCGGGTGATCTGGCTTGCCTTAAAAAATGAGGGCCTCTTTCAGGTAGTTGGCTGCCAATAGGTAAACTCAAAATGTCTCAATATCTACTTGTAGCCCAGTCTTAAACTTACGTCCTGAGTGGATTGGAGGGTGTTAGGGTTGGCTAAATGGTCAGCACTCCAAGGGTTTCCACGGGCGTCGGCGTGTGGGGATTCATTGGGGGTCCAAGCCAACCCAGTGATCCCATTCGGACCTTCAATTGGTGGGTTGCTTCGCTGTTGTTGGCTCAAGCTTGTGAGTTTGTTTTTTGTGTTGTGGTTGGCTGCAAAAAAACAGTCAGTTTGTTGCCACCGTACCTTTTGGGTTGTAAAGGTTACTAGCCACCCGAGACTTTGTCGACCCAAGAGCCCCACCACAAACCCACCTTTTGGTTTCCTTTTCACGGCTCAACCGCAGGGCCGGGGTGCTGCCACGCCGCAGAAACTGACAGGCACGCAATCGCTTCCTGAGTGGACTGGTCTGAGAGAATCCGAACTTGTCGCTATGCCCAGCCAAAATGAAGGTCTGGCTCAATGGGCAAACGTTGCCAATGCAACTTTTCTTAATGGTTGGAATTTGGTCTTTTGGGATGATCACTTCTCTGGCGTAGCATGGCATCGGGTACATACATTCTACGTCCTACGTATCACTTTGGAAGACTCTCAACTTTCAACGTTGCCGTTTTAGTGAGTAAACATAGCTAGGAAGCAAAAACGGCCAGCACACACCAAATATACTCAAGGGGGTAGTGCGAGGGAAAAAACAACCAACACAAAATTGTTGACGGCTTCCCTTTGAAATCAACCCACAAAGGAGGTGAACCTTCCTTACCCATGGCCACTGGGGTGTCTGGGAGGCGTATGAAGAGTGCCTTGCTATCCACCCAACGCCTGCGCCCTTCTTTCTGCCCTCCCGCACAAGCCTTGCCACGCCCTGCGCCTTGCTCGCGCCCTCCTATCTTGCACCCTGCCACCTTGCAATTCTGAGGCCCTGAATTGGGGACTCCTTCAAAACTATGTTCTACCCGTTTAGGAGGGTATCCGGAACACGTTTTGTGTGGAGTCGCACCACCCTTGTCATGCTGAAGGTGTATTATTCACGGTCGACATTGCCAGCATTGGGTTGACATAAACTTCCATGTGAGCTCATGTGCTTCAGGCGCACAGCAAGCCAACACATGTGTCATGCGTGGCCAGTTCCGTTTGATTCTGATGATGATACTCAAAGTCAACAGAAGTAGACCATATCCTACACAGTGGCTATACATATGTAGGAATATAGATGCAGACATGTATATGTGTGGGCATATACTTATATATTTATCTATTTAGATACACATGTGTGTGCACCATATGTAACTATATATAAGTGTGCTTGCTGCACGTTCAGTTGTGAAGGCTCGTAACGCGAGCACTCCAAGCAGGGCCGTGTCCCTGACAATGCTTGCGTCTATGCTGCTCGTCTAAGCGGAAGAGCTACCCTTCATTTGGAAAGGCAAGCGGACAAGCGGCAACGCCATCCAGCTGGCATACGTGTCTCAGGGCCGAGATCCTGCCACGAAACTAGAGGACGATTGGCCCGAAAGCATGTTTCCACAGGTGCTTATCCAGCTGTGGGGACACCTTTTTACATCGCTGCGGCGAGCGTGTCTGCGCGCGGCGATGCTCAGTGTGTATGGTCACATGAGAGCTCCATCTCATCATCCTACTTTCCTCTCGAACTGCGCCGCGCGATTTCTCACGAAAGTGGTCTGCGCAAGCTGCATTGTTCCAGGCTGCTGCGCGCAAGTTGCTCTCTGCAAGCTGCTGCGCGCAAGTGCTCTGTGCAAGTTGCTCTGCGCAAGTGCTCTGAGCAAGTTGCTCTGCGCAAGTGCTCTGCGCCAGTTGCTCCGCGCAAGCGCTTTGCGCATGTGCTCTGCGCAAGTTGGTCTGTGCAAGTTGCTCTGCGCCTGCTCTGTGCAAGTTGCTCTGCGCAAGTGCTCTGAGCAAGTTGCTCTGCGCAAGGGCTCTGCGCCAGTTGCTCCGTGCAAGCGCTTTGCGCATGTGCTCTGTGCAAGTTGGTCTGTGCAAGTTGCTCTGCGCAAGTGCTTTGTGCAATTGCTCTGTGCAAGTTGCTCTGCGCAAGTTGCTCTGCGCAAGTGACTCTGCGCAAGTTGCTCTGCGCAAGTGCTGCCGGAGCTGCGGGGGTGTGCTCCGCGTACTACGTTTGTACTTAAAAGTTGCGATTCTCCAGCCGGAGCTGCGGGGGTGTGCTCCGCGTACTACGTTTGTACTTAAAAGTTGCGATTTTCCAGCCTGAGCTGCGGGAGCACGCTCCGCATACTACGTCTGTACTTAAAAGTTACGATTTTCCAGCCGGAGCTGCAGGAGCACGCTCCGCGTACTACGTTTGTACTTAAAAGCTTCGATTTTCAAGCCGGAGCTGCCGCGGACCAGGGGGGAATCGAACCCGCGACCTATGGATTGCGAAAGCAGGCGCAAACCACGAGACGACTTCCAAAGGCCGTTTCGCGAGCAAGAATATTGCACGGCGCCACAGCGAGAGCGCTTCGACACGCACAATCTCCGCAGAGGGTTCGCCGACAAATTCGCACGGCGCCACAGCGAGAGCGCTTCGACGCGCACGATCTCCGCAGAGGGTCGCGCGCGCACCGCAGAAATCGTAAAAAGTCCCCAGTTTTTGAACCTCGACCACGCGAATCTCTGCAGAGGGTCGCGCGCGCATGCTAAAAATCGTAAAAAGTCTTCAGTTTTTGAACCTCGACCACGCGAATCTCCGCAGAAGGTCGCACGCGCATGCAAAAAATCGTAAAAAGTCCGCAGCTTTTGAACCTCGACCACGCGAATCTCCGCAGAGGGTCGCGCGCGCATGCTAGAAATCGTAAAAAGTCTTCAATTTTTGAACCTCGACCACGCGAATCTCCGCAGAGGGTCGCGCGCGGCCAGCAGAAATCGTAAAAAGTCCTCAGTTTTTGAACCTCGACCACGCGAATCTCCGCAGAGGGTCGCGCGCGGCCAGCAGAAATCGTAAAAAGTCCTCAGTTTTTGAACCTCGACCACGCGAATCTCCGCAGAGGGTTCGTAAAAAGTCCTCAGTTTTTGAACCTCGACCACGCGAATCTCCGCAGAGGGTCGCAATCCCGAGCGACTCCGCATCGCAAAGCTCAAACTCCCGCCCCGGCGCCTTAGAAACCTAAACTAACTTACATAGCTGCTAACGCCGAAGCTCTAAGCTCTACCTAACCTTGGCTCTAACTTGGCTCTATGTAACTTGGCTCTATGTAACTTGGCTCTATGTAACTTGGCTCTATGTAACTTGGCTCTATGTAACTTGGCTCTATGTAACTTGGCTCTATGTAACTTGGCTCTATGTAACTTGGCTCTATGTAACTTGGCTCTATGTAACTTGGCTCTATGTAACTTGGCTCTATGTAACTTGGCTCTATGTAACTTGGCTCTATGTAACTTGGCTCTATGTAACTTGGCTCTATGTAACTTGGCTCTATGTAACTTGGCTCTATGTAACTTGGCTCTATGTAACTTGGCTCTATGTAACTTGGCTCTATGTAACTTGGCTCTATGTAACTTGGCTCTATGTAACTTGGCTCTATGTAACTTGGCTCTATGTAACTTGGCTCTATGTAACTTGGCTCTATGTAACTTGGCTCTATGTAACTTGGCTCTATGTAACTTGGCTCTATGTAACTTGGCTCTATGTAACTTGGCTCTATGTAACTTGGCTCTATGTAACTTGGCTCTATGTAACTTGGCTCTATGTAACTTGGCTCTATGTAACTTGGCTCTATGTAACTTGGCTCTATGTAACTTGGCTCTATGTAACTTGGCTCTATGTAACTTGGCTCTATGTAACTTGGCTCTATGTAACTTGGCTCTATGTAACTTGGCTCTATGTAACTTGGCTCTACGTAACTTGGCTCTATGTAACTTGGCTCTATGTAACTTGTCCAAGGGCTTCGCACGGAAGAACCCTTCGCGAGGCTTTCGGGAATACAGAAAGCTGCCCCAGCAGCAGAATTGTAGAATTTGCAGGTTCACCTGCCCAGTTACAAACGCTTCAACTGTTGCAGTGGGTCCACAAAAACAGATGCGGCAAAGCCAGGGCATCCCGAATCTTCAACAGGACGAAGACTGCCTCACATGGATGCCGCCTCGCGAATCGCCCACGTGGATGTTGTTAGTGGTGCCAACACGCGACTCATGGTAGCACATTATTATTATTTGCTTGATATGTTCCGAGAACCAGAATAACAGTTGAAACCTTTGCCCTTCGTCGAACCAACATGAAAGTGCACAAACAGCCTTGTGTGATCAACATCCTTTGCACTTCCATGATTGTAAAGCAGACAGGTCCCCAAGGAGATTCCTCTAAACATGGTTTGATCAGGTGTCCGACTGAATTCCCCTTTATGGTGGTGTTCAATACCAGTTTTGTCAATGTGTTTGGTGAGTTTCCCTCGTAGCGGTGATTTTTCTCAGGGGGAAATGCCGGAAATTGGAGTAAAGACTTGCCTTGGAGCCCAACGTGCGGAAAGCGGCCAGCCGGGCTTTTCTTCCGGCCAGGCAAGCGCCGGTTGGAGCCGAAAGAGGCCGGAAGACTTCAGCAGGTGTCCTTGTTTCCTTTCTTCACCCCGCTTCTTTTTCTCGACCATGAGGACCCCCTTCCCATCTGAGTAATAGGGTGGGTAGTTGAGCGGTCTGGGGTTCCGCCTGAGGGTTCCTGGAGCCTTAGGGAACCCTTTCCTACCCCCCTTACAAACTCCACCCCCAATGAATGGAGTTTGTGTAGGTTTCGCGAAATCAATCGCACCACCTCGGCTATGTTGCCATCATGCTTGAAACGTGAAGGTGACTTCTTGTGAATCGCATGTGTTGATCGCCTCACCTGAAGTGTTGTTGGCATGTTTTTTTGGGGTGTTTGGGTTCTCTTTCTATTTTTTGGTAGGGGGCTGCAACAACACCCAGCCTTGTTTTTGCTGCCATGGCAGGGGTCGTAAAGTCACCCCACCTGTTTCGAGGGCCCGTGTTTTACCAGGCGGTGGTTTTCCTGGTGAGGCGACCAAGCCGTGGGAACAGAAACGGGTCGTCGTTTTTTTGGGACCCGAATCAAAATGGGTCCGTGACCCCATAAGGACCAACCATTTTTGATTCGGGTCAGAAGGAGACTCCAGGTACATGTTGTTTTTGTGTCTTATGTTTTCGCCCGCGCGCTGCGGGGTGAACCGGAAGTGTCCAGCTGAGCCCCCTTCAATCATGGGGTTCTCTCCTGAACCAATCTCACATCACTGCATCCCCCAAATGGGTTACCAACGAGGGGATTCCTCCAAATGTGGCCGTGGGCTTCGCTGGGTGTGCATGGCAGCGCTAAAACGGGGCGAGAGCCATGAGCACCATACAGCACGGAGGATGATGTGGCGCACACGTCAATTTGGCTGCAGAAACAGGCTCCCCTTTCAAGAAATGAGTGGTTGCATATGCTCACTTCTCCAAACCGAGCTTTTGACAACTTTTGGTTTTCCCCCCTGGCCACCATTTTTCCCGGTCCCGAAAGGCGATCGCTTGTTGGTTTCTTTTTTTGGCAGGTCCTTTGGGCACGTGAGAGGCTGTACAAGTTTTGCGGTCGTTCCAAGATTCCAAGTTCCTTGCATGCAACACGGTGCATAGAAGGACGGCTCCTTTGAAAAACGTGTTGGAAAGTGGGATCGGCCTCCAAGCACAAAGAAATGCCCACAGACCTGTTTGCTTGTTGGATTGAAGTGCAATACTTTAATATGGAGCAACATTGAGAGCTCTTCAACATTGCGGTGGCCATCCCCGGCTGTGTTTTAAGTAGCCCAGCTTTCAGCTGTCCCACAAGGAAGACAAAAGCTTTGGTGCATGTTGCTTGGATGTTAGGACTTTAACTTTTGCCAACGAATATGGGTTTTCCATTGGACCACTGAAAGTTTATTTAAGAAAAAAAGCTTTTAGCATTGGAGCGGAAAGCAACCGAGAAAGGGTATTGTTGTGATTGCATTTGCTTTTCCAGACATTCTAGTTGGCACCAGGAAACCCAAAGTTCAGGCTCCCCTTTTTGGGTGGTTTACAGCCCTTCCGTTATCTTTGCCCTCACATGTTCCTTGAATCCTTCAAGTTTACCGGATCAATGAGCGGATTCAAACCATCAAGTGTGGGATAGAAACAGCAGCGCAAGCTTGTTTCTTGACCTTCTACTTAGGACTCTTCGTACTTTCCCTGGGGTCTCCTCCAAAGCTATGGAATACTTTGGGGTAGGCAAAATATGAAAGGGGATCAGAACATAAGTGTTTTTTCCGTGTGCCTGGACCCTCAAAATACCTTTAAACTGTGTACGTACATCTTATTGCCCCAAAATGATGTGAACTCACGTACATATTGCCCCAAAATCATGTACATGTTCTTGCCCCATGTACCTGTCATTGCCCCCATGTTTTTGCCCCATGGTCTTAGGCAGCCTTCTTGGGCCAAGCGGTTGGCGTCAAAACCGCCCCTCGCCCTTCGCTTTGGCCAATGGCCCGAGGCTCCGCTCGGGAAGCCGCTGGCGATCGCGGGCCGGCGGAAGGAAGCGAAGGGAGCGGCCGCTTCGACCGAAACGGCTTCGGTCCGATCCCGTCCAGTCCATGGAGGTGTCTGGGTCTGTCAGCCAAAGGGAACCCTTGAAGGAACTGCCAACTTAAGAAAGTGAACTCACCAAAGATTCAGGTGGCAACCCCCTTGGTTACCTATGCTGAACCCTCAAATTACGCAAAGAAGAAGGGGAACTCACCCACCAGAATGTTGGATTGCGACCAATTGTTAAGTTGGAATGTCAAGGGTCCATGGTTTTCTCTGGTTACCAAAAGTGGCTTGCCTGGAAGCACTGCAAAAGGGAACGCACCTGTTGGTTTCCACTTTCAAGCGAGCCCCCAAAAGCCCCGAATGATTTCATTGACCATTTCAGGTGGTTGGTTGCATTCGGGCTTGTGGTCAGGCAAATAAACACCTTTGTAACAATCTTTATTGGTAGAACCAAGACTCATATGGCTGAAATGAGCGCTGCCCAATTGAGCTCGTTCCAGCTTTGACTTTTAAAGGGGAAATTTGGGTTTGGTTTCCGTTCGGAATTTGAAAGATTCGGCTGCCGAGTCTGGGAGGGAACCAATGCTCTGGCTGCGAAAGCTGAGGAAGCACCCGGTCCGGAAGCGGATGAGGCGAAAGAGGCTCGCGTGGCTGAAAGGGGAAGGACCCAAAGAATCAACTAGGTCCCCCAGTATTGCCCTTTCTCACCCCCTTTTTTGGGGGGAGGGTTCCCCTACTAAAATAGACTGCAGAAAAAGTTTCGGTACATCTATTCGAACCTCTCTACTGGAGGACCTAGACAATCAGCGCCCAGAACCCCAAGTGGCCATTAACTAAAACGAACACAAGTCGCCATTTTGCGTTTTGGGTCCCCAAAACACCAGACAACCACATGAAACTAAAACCCAGAAGGAAATCTTTAGCATCCAGTTTCAGCAGCTTCGAAGCTTCGGCTGCCTGGCTTCGGGGGGGGTTATGGCAAGGCCCAGATCCAAGAGCCCGTGGGTTTTGGCCGGTTCCTCGCTTGAATCTTCAACCTACTTCGCGTCCAGTAGGTATTTGTATGTCTTGTTTTCCCCAACCGCTGAAAACTATGCGGCTTTGTCATGGGCTCTGGTGTGTTTTGGAGTGCAAACAAGAAGTTTGCTGACATACCCGGGGTGGGAGTTAGATAAATGTCCTTTTCAAGCAAACCTCAAAGCACGGTATAAATACGGTATAAAGGGACCCAGGTAAAAGTAAAGGATATGTTTGTGCCAGAGTGACCCGCGCAGAGAGAAACCTGGGCTGGTCGAATCTCTTGCTGTGCGAAAGGCAGTGCAACCGCCAGAGTCGAGGCAGGAACGGAGGGGAGGTGTGTCTGAGGTAGTTAGTTGGTGCTTTGGTTGGCGGTTTGCATTTGGATTTGGCCATGGCTCAAAATCCCGTACACCCAGTGAACATCCCAATCCCCGCCAAAATAGGTTCTAAAATGGTGTCAGCTTTGTTTTCGGTTCCAATCGCAGGCGTTCATTATAGCCCTAGCCTGGTTTCCTGAACAATCAACAGGGAGAATCAGGAAACACAGGAACAGTGGCCTGACCTGATTTGAACATGATCCTTCAACAGTCACCCACCGCTGTCCTGACACAGGAACAGACCATATTCCTCAAAACAAGTGGCTCTAAACAGGCTGAGGCAGAACCCTTGCCAAGATGAACCCAGGATATGCAGCCTGGTTGAGTTTGATCAGGAAGCGCCTGCCCCGTTTTCCGCGAGTATTATCAAACAGTATCATGATTGGGCCAACACTTGCAAGCACTTTCTGGACGTGGTATAGATGGGTACATACCTCCTTTTCCTTGCCAAGTAAACCAACCAACACCAGAGGTCTCATCGTTCCAGGCAACCGAATCGACCATGTGGTGCCCATACCTACTGTGGATGGTTGAAATCGACATCCGCGCTCACACTCACGAAATGAAGTCGAAGTGACGCCAAGTTGAAATTATAACGTTTGTTGGTATCTGCGAATCATTCCGTTGGATTTTTAGGGTGCGACATGGATTTTGCACCCATCCACAGTATGGCAACTGCAAGCACTCCTTTCCAGAAACACAGAGACCAACAGCCGAAACTCGCGCCCGTGGGGTACGTTGTTGTTCACGCGGGCATCCGATTTCGGTTTTCCCATGTGTGACTTGGGCCACCCAATGCTTAATGTGAACTTCGATTAGTCCGGATCAGAGAGATCCCCTATGGACTCACTGCCTGAGTTCCTCAAGGAGGGGGGGCCGGCCCTCCGCATTCCGAAACGAAGATGGGGCTGCGACAAGTACTTTCCATTCCTTAACCCGGACCCTAACCAGCTACCAACTTAAAATGGGAGTTCAACCATAAGTTTGGGTTGCAATAAAGCCAATGGTTTAAGAAACAAATGAGGGTCTGATATTTTTTTGCAAGTGCAATAGCACAATTTAAATGGCTCCCAGTCATCCCCTTAGCTTTTTAGCCTTGTAGTGTTTAGTGGGTTTCCATTTAACCCACTGTTAAACCTTTAGCGGGGGATCTGAGGGCAGCCCAGATGTAAGAAGACTTTGAGGGCCCAGGAACAACACACTGCTTGCCTTCCGCAGGCACACGCCGAAGCCTGAGCCGCGCCTGGGATGCGAGTGGATCGGCTCCGGAACCCACGTGACAGGATACCGCTAAACGGGAGACTGGGGGTGTGGCTCAGCCAAGAGTTCCCCATGACCCTCAAAAAAGTGTCGGAAGAAAGGGGTCAGGGACCTATTTTGGAAGTGTCATGGAGACTCCGTCCCTTCCTGAGTTCCGTGTCGGACTTCAGCCACTTTTTGGGGCTCGCCATCTGAGTGGCCTGCACAAAAAGCGTCGCTCCTTTTTTTCAGGCCAACCCACTGGTTCGGGAGTGAGTCACATGCTCCTCTTGGGGGAAACAAGGAATGCACGGGCTAGTGAGCTTTGTGGGCTGAAACCGCAACTCGGTTTGACCGCGCGGAGGGATAAACCCTCTACCCCGGGCTTTCTGGGGTTCATTCTGTGGATGGTTAGAAATCGAGATGTGAACTCGCACGAAATGAAACCAATGAATTGAAACCATTTCCTTTGGTGGTATTCACAGGGGGGGAATGATCAGAATTCGGGTTTCTCAGGTGGTGCGAAATGGATTTCGTCCATCCACGGTGGGCAGTATGGCCAATCCCGGATGGCTCAAGTGTAGCATGCGGATGTCCAATGAACTTAGGCAAGTTACAACCATTGCTGTTGATGTTGCCCGGTTCGTTTTAAAAAAGGACCGCTTACTCCATTATTTGTTTTCCGGGGGACCTAAGCAAATGGAAGACAACCAACTTCTGTTGTTCCGCCTACAACCAGCAAACTGCAACCTCCCATGGCTTGTGTTTGACCGAATCGCCCCCAAACAAGATTGTTTTTGCACCATGGCTTGTTTTTGTGACCGAACGCCCCCCAAGAGGACTCGTTGGAAACGCATGGTGTGTCTTTTTCTACGGAGACCCGCCAAAATGTGTGGTTTCGCTGTTGTCAGCCTTCCAACAACGGACACCCTAAAAACGGACGAGCCACATTGACATGGCTTTTCCATATATACCGGTCAACCGAATCGAGACATGGTTTACTTTTCCGCTGTTTGTGGGAGGAATAAGCAGCCCCCCTGTTTCAAGGGAGGCTGCTCTTTTCAGTGGAAAAGGCAAACCCTGAATCCACGACTGTGGCTTGGGGGGCGGGGGTGGGGCGGAGAGCATCGCTTCATCCCAGGTTGAGATTACTTTCTGAGGCCCTTGGCAAGCGATGAGGTGGCGACCCGGCGAATCTGAGATCGAAATCAGGGACCAAAGACCCTCACCAGTCCCTGAAGGCCTTGTTTGGGGTGCTGTTTTGCTTTTTTGTTCTTCTTTTCTTTTTTGAAGGGAAACCTGGACAATGACCTTTTTGGGGCGGGGTGGGTGCCCTGAAAACAGACACCCATTTGTCCTTATCCAGCCGCGAAGGCTTCTTGAATTCTCAAAGCCTGGGCTTGGTCGCGTCCTTTGGCCTTGTCCAGCTCGTTACCTTCGGCTGCGTGAATTGCCTGGAAGCCCCTGTCTTCTTTTTTGTCAGAGAAAACGAAGAACTGGTGGAAGCCCAGAGAGAGAGAGAGAGAGAGAGAGAACAGACAAAACACGGAGGATCTCAAGTTGATTGGGCTATGAGCTTTAGTCTCAACAGCGGTTGGACATAAGTCCCAACCTCAATGATGCCAACCAAAGGGCCCTTTTAAAAAGAAAAAAAAGAAAGACAGAACAACAACGTGTGGGTTTGTCTTAAAATACGAAAATGTTGACCCCTTAGTAATAACCCCTGCAGTTTTTGATCAGGGGAGTCCCGTTTTGGGAATTCTTTCTTCGCGGGGGACCGGGTCCCCTGATTCATAACTGGCACGGCATAATTGGACCTAACCTCAAAAATGGCCCTCAAAAAAGAGAGCGACAAGGCCATACCCTTGTTTTACCCGTAAAATTGATTTCGGTTTTCCTGGTGGTTTCCCTTTAACCCCCTCCCTCCCCCCCCCCCCCACACAAAAGTAATTATAATGGGTAACCAGTCACTTTCGTTTTGGTTCTGAAAGGATGGTTCCCTTGGTCACCCGCCTTTCCCTGGTAAATGGATCCACTGAGGCCCCCCAAAAAAGACTGGGCACCCTAAAAAGACCTGGATCCTGGGAGATGATTTCAAAGAGAAGGAATCGGACCAAGAAACCAACATGGAGGTTGAAAAACCGAAGGAACGGTGTCCCCTTCTGTCGTTCAAGGGGTTTCGTTCTGGTTTTTCAAAAAAAACAACTGAAGCAAAACCATAACCTGTCCATTTCCTCCATTTTTTCCAGGATAATGTTGACCCAGGATCAATAAACCCGTCCCATTATTAGGGGGGTGCTCCCTCCAAAAGTGGTCTGAATCCAACCACTCAAAGGGGAAAAAAAGGCACCCCCCGATCAAAATCAACCAGGGGTTCTACTTAGATCCGGGGTCAACATTACCCTACAGCCAGCGCTTGGAATGGGCGGGTTCAGGTCTTCAGCTGGTCGGGGCTGCTGGTGACCTCCCGGGATCTCCAGTGCCTGGAGGCGAGGGCGACTTCCGACGACTCGTCGACTCGTCTTGCACGCGTGGCGTCGTTTGGGTTGGAAGACAGTTGTTGTTGGACCTCCATTCTATTCTTTTAATATTATCCTCCCTCCCAACACAGCATCTCACAGGACGGCTCAAGTTGCCCTGGATGCATGGTTGTCGTTGGGAAACATTTGAAACAATGTTTGCTTATTGAGGTTGAGTGGTTGGATTTCTTGAGTGGTTGAAATCCAACCACTTAACTGCTGATTTGTTTTGGCATTTATATATTAAGGTTCTGCTCATTTTCGGAAAAAGGCTTCATATTTTGTTGTGTTTTGCTTGTGTGTGTTTTTGTTGGCTGTTGTTTGTTTTTCGGGGTTCTGTTGATTTTCGTAGCTGCAAACAGGCAGTGATTTTTGTTGGCTGCGGGACTAGAATCCACCGAGGATCAATCGGGGGAATGAGTTTCAGCAAGGGCTGTTTCGCGGGAAGAGCTTGCAGCGTTTTTTTGTTTGTTCTGAAGCTACTTCACTGCTCGTGGCATGTCTGGTTTTTGTGTCGAATGTGTTTTAGATATTTTCAGCACAAACACAACCTTTTTTGTTGTTTAAACCAACTTGGTTACCATTGTTTTGGTATTGTTTTACCGTGTTTTTTCTTGGTGTCGATCTCCTTGGTTTTGGGGTGTTCATTTTCAGGCGGGCTGCATGGGACGGACCCGCTGGATCCGGACCCCGGACCGGTTCCCGAAAACGGTCGAAGGTTTTTTTGGTCGACTGGCGAATCCAAGCCACCTGGACCCGCAAAACGCACCCTTCAAGATGGGTTAGTGCGACAACTTCATGGGGTGAATTCAATATGTTTCTTTCTTTTTTTTCTGGGTAGTTTGAGGGTCCAGGTGGATATGATAAGGTTTCCCGAAGTTGCTCCGGAGTTTGAAGTAAGCATGAGTTGGGATGTGTCCACCACATATGTTGGAAGGTGTGCACCATTGAAACTCATAGCCATCATGGTTGCACTGAGATGTGCATTGAACAGGTGTAAACCCCAGGTTACTTGAAGGGGAAGGCTGCTTAGTAAGTGGGTAATAACCATGGTTGTATTCCGCTTACGGTTTGGTAAGTGGGCTGCAACCATAGTGTTTCAGTTGGCTTGTTCATAGCGTATTCCCCTATGATTAACGGATTGCAGATCATTCGGTGTGCGGATTGGACTGGGCGTGTCAGGAATTACGGATTGTGGGTTTCATGAGTGAGCTCCAGCATAAGGTTTCGATTCGCACTTTAGGGATTAAACATTATATAGACCAGAACAAGGATGAAGCCGATTGCAGATAGTAATTGGACCAATGGAATTCGAAGAGGCCCAAAGCCGACCTCCCGTTTTGGTCCATTTTTAGTGGAGCTGCCAAAAGGTTAACCTTTTATTTCTGGGTCCTTTGGGCAAGTGAGAATTAGAAGAGGCTAGCTCACCAATTCCCTGACGCACCCAAAGCCCCTTTGGGTAGGGTGCATTGACGAAGCTGTGGAATCAGGCACACCCGAGTGGTTTTTTCTCACTTCTTGAGTTCGTGGACTTACCTGGAGTCTCCATGACCCGAATCAAAAATGGGTCCATGACCCCATTATTGACCCCATTTTTAAAGGGTCATGGAGACTCCAGGTAATACTTTTTTCGGAAGACAAAGTTGGTGGTCAACGGAAAGTTGACACTTGCAAACCACTCGATCGGATGTGAGTCTCAGAACTCTCTTAGGAATGCCTAAGAATTTGGCTTTAAGAACCTTCCTTGCACAAGTGGTGTTGGGCCTTTGGTTGTTCTAAGAAAGAAACGCCTCCTGGTCAAATTAAGTGACTCGCGGCAAATCGGTTTGCGAGCGATTCGTAACGTGAACAGGATGGCGAGATGCTGAACGACGCTGCCGCTGGCCGCATGGGTGTGTCTCCAAATGGGCGTGTCCTTTTTTTTGGAGGCGTAATTTGGATGATTTTGAAGGGACACCAAAAGGAAACCCCTTTTTAGATGGTTTTGAAGGGAAACCAAAAGGAACCCCTTTCGTTGGTGGTTTCAATGGGATTCCAAGAGGAAACCAATTTCAGTTAGGGGGTTAAGCCCAAATGAGGTTTGGCCAAAATGCCCAGACCGGTCTGCAGTCCATTTGGAGTAGACCTGCGGGACGAGCCCAAGTACCTGATTCCCACTCCCTCTTTGGCAACTAATTAGGCCCCAGCAACTCGCAATCGACCCTTTTTCTGTTGTTGACCCAAGCGATACACCGGCGGGACAGGCCTCCGAAACAACCCCAAATGGATAGGCTCAACAAAAGGCGCAGCTTGTCCAGCACCAAAGAGGCGTGTCTTAAAATTAGGGACCCCCTTTTGGTGTCCCTGAACGCTACCTACCAGTAGAAACGACTCCCGAATGCAGAAAGTTAAACCACCTGGGGCTTGGAGGACGAAGGTTCCCAAACCACACCCCGATACTCTAAGCTTACGTAGGTCCATTTGGGATCTTGAACATGCAGGCTCCCATCTCTAAAATGCATCTTGACCACTATCAGCAGGGCTCCTTCAAAGATACATGTTCCCAATGTGAAACATGGCTTTTTGCACCAAAATAACAGGAACCCAGCATTTACAAGGCAATGTTCAGGTGTATAATGCATCCGGATCCCTGATCGGGACTGCAAGAAGCAAGGAATTGTGTCTTGCACATGTGCATGAACTATCCAGCTATAGTATGTCTCTTTGTTGGGACCGCTCTTGTATGGTTGTTTTGTTTGTTTGTTTGCAGTCTTCGGCAATGGAATATCTCCCTGACCATTCTAGTGCTTAAATCAGAATGAACTGTTTTGTGCTGTATCCAGTCGATCGGAAGTGAGTCTTTCTCAGGCTTTGGCAGTGCCTCTCTGAGAGTCAACATTACGTATACCCCTGGAAATCATTGCCTCGAATTCCAACTCAAAGGAAGACTGGATCGTCTTTAAGGCACCTGCACACCCGTTCAAGCCATTCTTATGCCCCATAGCGTCTGAAAGCCTTTATTGCCTATAGTTTAATTGGTGTTACAGCACAGCCTATGGATCCTTGCTCTGTCTGAAGCGTTGCCAGGAATCCAAGCCACAGCCATTGCCCTTGCCAGACTTCACCAGCCTGTTCGCTTTGCCCGTTGCCCGGCTTTCCTTCAAACCAGCCCCCCAAAAACTGGTTTCCCAATTTAAACCAGCCGGCAAAGCTCCCGGCAGGTTTCAAGAAGCGCTCGCTAAAAGCGCTCTCCAGAGATCCCCGAAACATTATGGAATCCCATCCGGGGTAGCTACAAGGGGTGTGGGTAGAGAGCCCCGAAACGGGCTCCTTTAAGGTTGCATTGCTCGGTGCCAACGACCTGCCGCAGCGCCCGAGGTCGTGGATTTCTTCCTGCAGCTCATGCAGAGCTTCCTCCCCTCGCGCACCTTGGACCCAGAACCCGCTTCCAAATCAGAAGGCTAAATATGGCTGTGGCTCAAAAAGCCGGTACCAAAATGGAACCCTGGTAAGTGGAAACATGACCTGCGTAACCCGTCCTGTTTAATTTTGAGCGACACCCATATGGCGGATGCGGAGCCCCACCACGCCCTTTTGGACCCATATGAATCCAACAGCAACATGGTGGAAAGGATCGCTGTGCTGTTCCCCTATCAATCCACAAACCTTTTGGCCTCCTGTTGGTTTCCAAAAGGAAAGCTTGGGTTTCCTTTGGGTGTCCTTTCGGTGTCCTGTTTCTTTTCCTTTTGCTGCTTTGTTTGGTTTAGTGTCGAGAAGTCCGCGTTGTCCAAAACACCGGTGGGTGCGTCTTTTGTTCTTCTTCTTTTTAACGGCTTTCCTGTTGGTTTCCCTACAACACCACCAAACATGGGGTCCTAAACGCTGGAACCACCCCCCGGCGGTTTCCTGAAAACATCGGTTTCCGCATTCATCAATTTCCTTTGGATTCTATTTGTATTGGTATTCCCGCTTTTACCCCACCCAACGTGTGGTTTGGTTCCCTTTTTTTCGGAGTTGGTACCCATTGTGTGTGGTTTGCACAAAAACTAAAAGGATAAACACATAAATTTTGTTGGGTCCCCTTAAAAAAAAGTCGTGGTCATGTGTTTGCCTGTCATAAAAGTCAGAAGCTCTGGCCCGTTTTGCCACTTGCCGTTACCCTACCTACTATAGTGGCGAAATGCCTGGAAGCACTGGGAAGGATCGGGCAAATAACAAAACCACTTGCCGTGTCCTTTTGGCTTCCCGTATGTGTCGTTGATGTGTCAAATATGTTCATAGTGTTTCTTCCGTTGCCGAAACACGAGCTCGGTCGGCTTGACTTTCTTCCGGCAAGGCGACCTGTTGGTCTTCTCCAGCCACTTCTTCACACGGCTGACGGCGGCGCAGGCGACAAACGGCGAAGTTGGCTGGGAGAACGTGAAGGGATGGACCAAGAAGAAGTCGCTGCCAGGAGAGAAAGGGCATGAAAGGGACAGACCGGTGCGGTTCGGAGTTCCTTGCTCAAGCTTTTTGGGGCGTTCTCTTTGAAGAATGGCTGTGTTTCCATTCGGGTCTCGAGCGGTTTGTGGGAGGAAATGGTGCGAAGGTCCTCTTGGAAGTGGTGCGATTCCTCACTTCTCCAGTGGGTGGACTTGATCTCGGGAAGATCGCTTCAAAGGTCTGGACTGTCCTGGCCCATCCACTCGATCGGTGCGATTCGTGTGTGTGTGTGTGTGCGGAGTGGCAGATTACCCTGCCACCATCCACCTTTTTCCACCGCAGCAGGGGGCTGGAGCCGGCCCGGGGGGTCTCCAGCCAACGAAGACGCCCCCCGGTGTCCGGGTCCAAACGTACCTGCGGGGCTGCGCCTGGGCCATTGTCATGGCAGCTGGCGGGCCCACCCCAAACAAAGGTCCCCTTTTTGCCCTTTTCTCCAAAACCAGCTGAACCCCAGCTGTACTCGAGACTCACCAGTTGTACTCGAACGATGAGTGACTTATCAGTTGTACTCGAGACTCATCAGTTGTACTCGAGACTCATCAGTTGTACTCGAAAGACTAGCACCCTCCATCTGGAGTTTAAGTGTGTACACCCCATTCGTGGGGAATCCTCGGGTGTACCCATTGTGTGACCCCGGGCCGGCTCTGTCGGAAATTTGACCTCAGCGTGCTTATCATAGACCAGCGGAATTTCACATTTAACCAGGATCGAGGTTTCACTAAAGGGAAGACAGCCACCTCTTCATAGCTACGTTTCACCCTTCGTTCTTTTTTCTCGCCTTCGTGTTCCGCGTGCCCGTCTTCTGGTTCTTCGCCCGCCTAGGGATGGCTTCTCCTTCCTCCCGTTCTCTTCCTGCTGCCTTTCGTGACCCGCGCGTTCGCCCTCCTCCTGTTCGCCCGCTTAGGGATGGCCTGGTTGTCCTCGCGTTGTTCACCTTTTTCCTCGTCGTCGTCTTCGTGTCCGTCTTCCTGTTCCTACTCCTCTTCTTCCTCACGTAGTTTGGCTTGACGTCTTCTTCCCCTTCCGTTGCTATTTCGTGTTCGTCCTCTTGGCCCCTGTGTGGGATTCGTCGTCTTCCTCCTCGAGCTTTGGACTTCATCCTCTCTTCCTGTCTGGGCGGGATGCGTCGCCCTAAAAACGCATACTACTTCCCTCTTCCTTTTCTTTTTCTCCTTTCTCCTCTCCTCGGGCGGGCTGCGGCGCCCTAAATACGCATCTCGCTCCCTTTGTCTTCTTTTCTCTCCTTCTTCTTCTTCTCTCTCCCTTGCGTTCCTTTCTCCTTCCCCCGGGCGGGCTGCGGCGCCCTAAATACGCATCTCGGCCCTTCTCCTCCTTTCTCTCTTTCTCTCTTTCTCGCTCTCTCCTTCTTTTCTTCTCCCCTTTCCCTACTACTTCCGGTTGTTCCTCTTCGCCCGTTTAGGGATGGCGTGTTCGTGGTGTCGTTGTTCAACTTCGCGGTGCTCTTTGTCTACAAGGTTTAGGAGGGTTTCTGGACTGTTTGGGGTTCTTTGCCCTCGGCGGTGACCCTAAACTCGGTTTCCCGTTTTTCGTGTTTCTTGGTTGGGGTTTTGCCCGCGGAGGCCCACCCTACGTGGGGCCTTTCTGTTCCTTTTGGGTTCTTGCTCCGTTTGTTTTCTGTTGGGGTCTTCGTCCGTCTTTCGGGCGCTTCTTCTTCCCCCCGAAAAAGAGACTTTTCGCCCCTCACTGAGGGGCGTGTGTGTGCGGAGTGGCAGATTACCCTGCCACCATCCACCTTTTTCCACCGCAGCAGGGGGCTGGAGCCGGCCCGGGGGGTCTCCAGCCAACGAAGACGCCCCCCGGTGTCCGGGTCCAAACGTACCTGCGGGGCTGCGCCTGGGCCATTGTCATGGCAGCTGGCGGGCCCACCCCAAACAAAGGTCCCCTTTTTGCCCTTTTCCAAAACCAGCTGAACCCCAGCTGTACTCGAGACTCACCAGTTGTACTCGAACGATGAGTGACTTATCAGTTGTACTCGAGACTCATCAGTTGTACTCGAGACTCATCAGTTGTACTCGAAAGATTAGCACCCTCCATCTGGAGTTTAAGTGTGTGTGTGTGTGTGTGTGTGTGTGTGTGTGTGTGTGTGTGTGTGTGTGTGTGTGTGTGTGTGTGTGTGTGTGTGTGTGTGTGTGTGTGTGTGTGTGTGTGTGTGTGTGTGTGTGTGTGTGTGTGTGTGTGTGTGTGTGTGTGTGTGTGTGTGTGTGTGTGTGTGTGTGTGTGTGTGTGTGTGTGTGTGTGTGTGTGTGTGTGTGTGTGTGTGTGTGTGTGTGTGTGTGTTTTTTCCTCGAACAGCTGCCCAGCTAGAATGGCATGCTGGGTGTGTTTTTGAGGCTGCCCTTTCTGTTGGCTTCAAGGGGAACCAAAAGGATGCCAAGTAACTAGTGGGGCTCCCCCCTAGACAAGATGACACTTCCTTGAAGGGGCATTTAAAGGGAATCTACAGGGAAAACAACCATTTTCGGGGTACTGTGGTGAAGCCCAATGAGTACTGGTTGCTCCACTCCAATACCTATTTTTTCGGGTACCATGTCAACCACCCTTTACCACGAACAATTCAACACATACCCTAAGAAAAAGGGGGTATTTGGAGTAGGGGGGGGAGGAGGTACTTAAAGACTTAAAGTGAAAGGGTATGTCCAGTGGCTAGACACCATGATTGTTGAAACCCACTTGCCAAGGACAGCGAAAGACAACATAGAGCCCCTTGTCAACTCCTTTCGTTTGCCTTGAGCATAGGACAAGGTCCATCGGGGGTCCAGGGAGAGACAAATTTGGGCATGGCTTCGCGCCACTGCTATGGGCATGCGGTTCAGTCTTTGAGTTGGTTGCTTCTTGTTCTGATATCATTTTGTTTGGGTGCCCCCCCAGAGACCACAGTTGTTTGCTCACACGCCAAGCTTTTCCCATTGTTTCCAGGGATCCTTCTTTATCAGGGAACCATCAACCCATGCACAACAGCTGGTTTTGAAAAGAACGATGATTCAAAAGACAGGGGAAACAACCACTAGGACTACTGTTTCAAGGCTTGGTTTCAAGTCGTGCCCTTCTGAAGCGACTCATAGCGACCCTCTGTCGTGCTGGGGGGTTTCTGGGGCCTCTGTTTGGTGGTTTGGACTGCAATAGGCAGCCTTAAACATATGGTTGTTAAGGGTATCCTTTTTGGGCTTGATTTACGGGAAAACAAAAAGGACACCAAAGCCTTTTTGTTTGGGGGGGGGGATCGATTCCAAGAAAGCAAACCTAAGCACACCTTCCACTTTGCAGGTCACCCCTTGATGGTTGGAATTGGATTGGATCCGGATTTGAGCCCCTGGAATCTGTAGAGGATAAATGGGACACCACATCCGGACCACCAATCCAAATCACCTAGTAGAGGGGCGCTGATTTTTTTGGCGATGTTTGGTTCGCTTCTTCTTGGCGGGTGACTTTTTGTGGGATGGAACTGCCTCTCAGGACTATCTAGGGGGCAGTTT